ACATCAAACTACCTGTCAGAGGTGATTTAGGCTCCTCCCCCTTGGTCTGAGGCCCAGCCCTCTTCTTCTGTGCAGACACACCCTCAGTTTGGTCTGACAGGTAGCCTTCAAAAAGAGAAACAAGTTCACTTAACCGAGACCAACATTAGTTCAAAAGATACTGTGATATGAACAACAGAATTATTTTAGATTTTATTCTTATTTTGTCTTCATATCTCAATTGATCTGTTTTTAAAAATATTGTCTGCATAATTCAGAATGAGAGTCAATGTTCTGATTGATTTACAACAACTGTCCCCTAATCAATTAGAGTGAATACTGCCCTTTAAGTCCTTCCTGTGGCAGAAACACCCCCCCAAGTGTTCACCAATCAGCACCTGAGTCTGCAGTCGCTCTCTTCCTGCCACAACTCAACACTTCCTGGACCAGGAGACAGGTGAGACAGGTGAGACAGGTGAGGCAGGTGATGACTTTTATTGAGAAATCAAAGAAGAAACGTACCTTTATGAAAGGAGAGCTGCTTCCTCTGAATACGTCTGTCTCTTCTTGTGACATCTCAGGGACAGGAACACCTGGGAGACAGACAGGTTCAGGGACAGGAACACCTGGGAGACAGACAGGTTCAGGGACAGGAACACCTGGGAGACAGACAAGTTCAGGGACAGGAACACCTGGGAGACAGACAGGTTCAGGGACAGGAACACCTGAGAGACAGACAGGTTCAGGGACAGGAACACCTGAGAGACAGACAGGTTCAGGGACAGGAACACCTGAGAGACAGACAGGTTCAGCCCAAATGTTTTCTTCCTTCAGATTACATTAATTTACATTCCATTAATATTCAGTGATTATGTCCCTATGTTTTATTGTGGCGGGGTCCACCGACTGGATTCAGATACCTGGACAGGAAATGATGCAGCAGGTAATCCAGAGTTTCTTTGTTGTTGTAGTTCTCTTTTTTGAGGATCTGTACTGTTTGTTTGCTGCACTGTAAACTCACACACACATCAATCAAACAGTGTGAGTCTGACCTGAGTCGTATGTCGGAGTCGAGTGTCTGATCTGATCAAACAGAAACTCTGCTGTGCTTCTCCCTGGAATCTGAAAACAACAACAACAACAACAACAAGTCATTCAGATTTCAATCCCAACAACGTGTTTATATTTATTAATGCTGTTTTAACAGTGCAGTTACCTTCATTACAGACGAGTCATCTTCACTGCTCGGAGATGACAGAGGCAAGACTGGACCACAGACAGACAGACAGACAGACAGACAGACAGACAGACAGAAACAGTGAATGTGCTTCTATGTCAGTAAACGCTACAGCAGTAAGCAGGGTTCGCTCACTCTTCAGCTGACTCTTGCTCTGTGGTTTCTTCCTGCTGTAGGATCTACCACTCTGTTTGGCAGCAGAGGGGAACACCTGGACTGTACCACCAGTGCTTTCGACACAGGGGGAACTCCTCCCCTTCTGTTCATACAGACAGAAAACAGAAGTCAGAGGTCAGAGGAAGTCTGCTCACTGCTCACATCTGAAAACACAAAGAAAGTCTTATTGGAAACTCTCAGAGGAAGTTCACAGTTCAGCAAGGAAGGAAGGAAGGAAGGAAGGAAGGAAGGAAGGAAAGAAAGAAAGAAAGAAGCAAGGGAGGAAGCAAGAAAAGAAGGAAGAAAAGACAGACAGACAGACAGACAGACAGACAGACAGACAGACAGACAGGTACCATGAAGACTCTCCCAGCAGCCTCCTCCAGCTCTCGGTGGTGTTCACAGTCAAAGTTCAGCTCCACTGTCTGACCTCTGCTGTTGTGGTGCATGATGGGATTGTTGAGCTGCACACTTAGGACCGTCTCTGCCCCAGAGCATCCTGGGTAAACACCCACACCAACAGTTGACGTGTGTAACAGCATCAGTCAGTCCTTTCTAAAGGTGTTGGTGCACTTACTGACCGTCACGTTTCAGCTGAACGCTATAACGATCCACTTCCTCTTTCAGCAGGTGGACGGAGCCCCACAGGAAACCCTGAGAGCCAGAGAGACACCAGTGTGGTCACAGCGGCCCCAGTTCCTTCGGTTCCCCCGGTCCCCCCAGTTCCCGGTTTATAATACTGTAGCACTATAATACTGTACTATAATACTGTAGCAGTAATACTGTAGCACTATAATACTGTAGCAGTATAATACTGTAGTACTATAATACTGTAGTACTAATACTGTAGCACTATAATACTGTAGCACTATAATACGGTAGCAGTATAATACTGTAGCACTAATACTGTAGTACTATAATACTGTAGCACTATAATACTGTAGCAGTATAATACTGTAGTACTATAATACTGTAGCACTATAATACTGTAGCAGTATAATACTGTAGTACTATAATACTGTAGCACTAATACTGTAGCACTATAATACTGTAGCACTCTAATACGGTAGCAGTAATACTGTAGTACTATAATACGGTAGCAGTTATACTGTAGTACTATAATACTGTAGCAGTAATACTATATTACTATAATACTGTAGCAGTAATACTGTAGCACTATAATACTGTAGCACTATAATACTGTAGCAGTATAATACTGTAGTACTATAATACTGTAGTAGTAATACTGTAGTACTATAATACTGTAGCAGTAATACTGTAGCACTATAATACTGTAGCAGTAATACTGTAGCACTATAATACTGTAGCAGTTATACTGTAGTACTATAATACTGTAGCAGTAATACTGTAGCACTATAATACTGTAGCAGTAATACTGTAGCACTATAATACTGTAGCAGTTATACTGTAGTACTATAATACTGTAGCAGTAATACTGTAGTACTATAATACTGTAGTACTATAATACTGTAGCACTATAATACTGTAGCAGTTATACTGTAGTACTATAATACTGTAGCAGTAATACTGTAGTACTATAATACTGTAGTACTATAATACGGTAGCAGTAATACTGTAGTACTATAATACTGTAGTACTATAATACGGTAGCAGTAATACTGTAGTACTATAATACTGTAGCACTATAATACTGTAGCAGTAATACTGTAGTACTATATTACTGTAGCACCATAATACTGTAGCAGTATAATACTGTAGTACTATAATACTGTAGCGGTTATACTGTAGTACTATAATACTGTAGCAGTAATACTGTAGTACTATAATACTGTAGCAGTAATACTGTAGTACTATATTACTGTAGCACTATAATACTGTAGCAGTAATACTGTAGCACTATAATACTGTAGCAGTAATACTGTAGCACTATAATACTGTAGCAGTAATACTGTAGCACTATAATACTGTAGCAGTAATACTGTAGTACTATAATACTGTAGCAGTAATACTGTAGTACTATAATACTGTAGCAGTTATACTGTAGCACTATAATACTTTAGTACTATAATACTGTAGCAGTAATACTGTAGTACTATAATACTATAGCACTATATTACTGTAGTACTATAATACTGTAGCAGTAATACTGTAGTACTATAATACTGTAGCAGTAATACTATAGCACTATAATACTGTAGCACTATAATACTGTAGCAGTAATACTGTAGCACTATAATACTGTAGTACTATAATACTTTAGCAGTATAATACTGTAGCAGTAATACTGTAGCACTATAATACTGTAGCACTATAATACTATAGCAGTAATACTGTAGTACTATAATACTGTAGCACTATAATACTGTAGCAGTAATACTGTAGCACTATAATACTGTAGTGCTATAATACTGTAGCAGTAATACTGTAGTACTATAATACTGTCGCAGTAATACTGTAGTACTATAATACTGTAGCAGTAATACTGTAGTACTATAATACTGTAGCACTATAATACTGTAGCAGTAATACTGTAGTACTATAATACTGTAGCACTATAATACTGTAGCAGTAATACTGTAGTACTATAATACTGTAGCACTATAATACTGTAGTACTATAATACTGTAGCAGTAATACTGTAGTACTATAATACTGTAGCACTATAATACTGTAGTCCTGTTAAATTACAGTAAACTACTGGCAGCTACAGTTGCCAGCTTAAAACTGTTATTCTACAGTGTACCTACTGTGATCTACAACAACAGTTTAATACTGTACAAATATTACAGTACTGTGCTGTATGGAAAATAAACATTACAGTATTATACTGTCAGCTCTCTGGTTGCAATTATACTGTTATTTTACAGTTCCTAGAGTGTTCTCCATTAACAACTTATTACTGTAAAACTGTAGAATGTGATCTTCACAGTGATATAAACTAATGAAGTTTTACATTTAAAAATGAAAACCCCTGAAATAATAATAATAATAATAATAATAATAATAATAATAAATGAAAATAGCTGTCATAGAAATGGCCTTACAACATTAGGCATTTATTAAAGCTGAACATTTTCAGTATCTACAAAATCCATAAAAACATCATTACTTCTTTAATACTTAATATTTTCTCGAACTATGACAAGTGATGGCTAACATTACATTCATTAAACTTTGTATTTTCCTCCCCGGGTCAAAATTGACCAGGTCTGGTTTAACTGTTTGCAAAGCATAGAGTACAAATTATCAGCCAATTCAACTTCATTTAACCATACTGCTAGTTTTTTTCCTTCCTCCCTTCACCCAAAGACAGCTGGGTTAAAGTCACTGCATCAAATGCATAGCAGCTAAGAAAACTAAGTAAAAGCTAACTAAATTACACACATTCCATTAACAATAACAATTAAACATATCAAACTGGCTCTCAACAATGGTGGGTCCAAAAATGAACCTGGACATCTGAGACAGATGGACTGAACTATACTGGCTAAATAAAGCCCCACTCAAAGTCCATCACAATTTTTAGTAGAGTGGCTACATGGGGATTCACCGCTGTTGCCCTTTTGTGGACCAGCTTCCCCATCTTCTTTGACACCACCTTCCCCTGGCTGGTCTTTCTTCCCCTCTCAGGATTAATCCCAATGAGGCACCTAAAATGTAATAATAGGGAAAGTATAAAAGATATTAGGTATGGTAAGTAAAGATCATTTGCATTTAATATGGAACCCTATCACAGTAATTGAATAAAAAATGAACACCTATGAGTTCGCATGTGCCTGACATGTGCAAATGTTTTTTAGCTTTTTGCATCAACCTGCATAACAAGCTTCTCCCTATAAACTCCCATAAACTGTTTTACTTGAAAAAGTAAAACAATAAATGGTTAAATAGAACCTTGTAGCCCACCTCAATTAGATCTGACAACAAATCAAATGCCCAAGCCAACTTATGCTAATTTAAGTAATGTGCTTCAACAGAAAGCTAAACTTTTGTCCACATAGTTGCTAAATGAGAGTAACGTATGCTAGCGTGGGGCACATACTTTTGACTCAAACACAAAATCACATTAGCATTATGCTGACTTTTGCAAGATTATATTTACCTTCTTAAGAAAGCCACGGGGACAGCATGGATGAGGGTGCGCTGCGCAGGTGACGAGTCCAGTATTTTTACAGCAATTTGTTACAGTGTAGTACTGTAATACTGTAGTACTATAATACTGTAGCAGTAATACTGTAGCACTATAATACTGTAGTACTATAATACTGTAGCAGTAATACTGTAGCACTATAATACTGTAGTACTATAATACTGTAGCACTATAATACTGTAGCACTATAATACTGTAGCAGTAATACTGTAGTACTATAATACAGTAGTACTATAATACTGTAGCACTATAATACTGTAGTACTATAATACTGTAGCAGTAATACTGTAGTACTATAATACTGTAGCACTATAATACTGTAGCACTATAATACTGTAGCAGTAATACTGTAGTACTATAATACAGTAGTACTATAATACTGTAGCACTATAATACTGTAGTACTATAATACTGTAGTACTATAATACTGTAGTACTATAATACTGTAGCAGTAATACTGTAGCAGTAATACTGTAGCACTATAATACTGTAGCACTATAATACTGTAGTACTATAATACTATAGCAGTAATACTGTAGTACTATAATACTGTAGTACTATAATACTGTAGCACTATAATACTGTAGCACTATAATACTGTAGCACTATAATACTGTAGCACTATAATACTGTAGCAGTAATACTGTAGCACTATAATACTGTAGTACTATAATACTGTAGCACTATAATACTGTAGCACTATAATACTGTAGTACTATAATACTATAGCAGTAATACTGTAGTACTATAATACTGTAGTACTATAATACTGTAGCACTATAATACTGTAGCACTATAATACTGTAGCAGTAATACTGTAGCACTATAATACTATAATACTGTAGCACTATATAATACTGTAGCACTATAATACTGTAGCACTATAATACTGTAGCACTATAATACTGTAGCACTATAATACTGTAGCACTATAATACTGTAGCAGTAATACTGTAGCACTATAATACTGTAGCACTATAATACTGTAGCACTATAATACTGTAGCAGTAATACTGTAGCACTATAATACTGTAGCACTATAATACTGTAGTAGTACTACTGTAGCACTATAATACTGTAGTACTATAATACTGTAGTACTATAATACTGTAGCACTATATAATACTGTAGCACTATAATACTGTAGTAGTACTACTGTAGCACTATAATACTGTAGCACTATAATACCTTAGTACTATAATACTGTAGCACTATATAATACTGTAGCACTATAATACTGTAGCACTATAATACTGTAGTAGTACTACTGTAGCACTATAATACTGTAGTACTATAATACTGTAGCACTATATAATACTGTAGCACTATAATACTGTAGTAGTACTACTGTAGCACTATAATACTGTAGCACTATAATACTGTAGTAGTACTACTGTAGCACTATAATACTGTAGTACTATAATACTGTAGCACTATATAATACTGTAGCACTATAATACTGTAGTAGTACTACTGTAGCACTATAATACTGTAGCACTATAATACTGTAGTAGTATAATACTGTAGCACTATAATACTGTAGCACTATATAATACTGTAGTAGTATAATACTGTAGCACTATAATACTGTAGCACTATAATACTGTAGCACTATATAATACTGTAGCACTATAATACTGTAGCACTATATAATACTGTAGCACTATAATACTGTAGCACTATAATACTGTAGTAGTACTACTGTAGCACTATAATACTGTAGCACTATAATACTGTAGTAGTACTACTGTAGCACTATAATACTGTAGTACTACAATACTATAGCAGTAATACTGTAGTACTATAATACTGTAGTACTATAATACTGTAGCACTATAATACTGTAGCACTATAATACTGTAGCAGTAATACTGTAGCACTATAATACTGTAGCACTATAATACTGTAGCAGTATAATACTGTAGTACTATAATACTGTAGTAGTACTACTGTAGCACTATAATACTGTAGCACTATAATACTGTAGCACTATAATACTGTAGTACTATAATACTGTAGCACTATAATACTGTAGCACTATAATACTGTAGCACTATAATACTGTAGCACTATAATACTGTAGTAGTACTACTGTAGCACTATAATACTGTAGCACTATATAATACTGTAGTACTATAATACTGTAGCACTATAATACTGTAGCAGTAATACTGTAGCACTATAATACTGTAGCACTATAATACTGTAGTACTATAATACTGTAGCACTATAATACTGTAGTAGTACTACTGTAGCACTATAATACTGTAGCACTATATAATACTGTAGTACTATAATACTGTAGCACTATAATACTGTAGCAGTAATACTGTAGCACTATAATACTGTAGCACTATAATACTGTAGCACTATAATACTGTAGTACTATAATACTGTAGTAGTACTACTGTAGCACTATAATACTGTAGCACTATAATACTGTAGCACTATAATACTGTAGTAGTACTACTGTAGCACTATAATACTGTAGTACTATAATACTGTAGTAGTACTACTGTAGCACTATAATACTGTAGTACTATAATACTGTAGCACTATAATACTGTAGCACTATAATACTGTAGCAGTAATACTATAGTACTATAATACTGTAGCACTATATAATACTGTAGTACTATAATACTGTAGCACTATATAATACTGTAGCACTATAATACTGTAGCACTATATAATACTGTAGCACTATAATACTGTAGCACTATAATACTGTAGCACTATATAATACTGTAGCACTATAATACTGTAGCACTATATAATACTGTAGCACTATAATACTGTAGCAGTAATACTGTAGCACTATAATACTGTAGCACTATAATACTGTAGCACTATAATACTGTAGTAGTACTACTGTAGCACTATAATACTGTAGTACTATAATACTGTAGTAGTACTACTGTAGCACTATAATACTGTAGCACTATAATACTGTAGTACTATAATACTGTAGCACTATATAATACTGTAGCACTATAATACTGTAGCACTATAATACTGTAGCACTATATAATACTGTAGCACTATATAATACTGTAGCACTATAATACTGTAGTACTATAATACTGTAGCACTATATAATACTGTAGCACTATAATACTGTAGCACTATAATACTGTAGCACTATAATACTGTAGTAGTACTACTGTAGCACTATATAATACTGTAGCAGTATAATACTGTAGTAGTATAATACTGTAGCACTATATAATACTGTAGCACTATAATACTGTAGCACGATAATACTGTAGTAGTATAATACTGTAGCACTATAATACTGTAGTACTATAATACTGTAGTAGTACTACTGTAGTACTATAATACTGTAGTAGTACTACTGTAGCACTATAATACTGTAGCACTATAATACTGTAGTAGTACTACGTGGGGGAGCGCTGTGGTTCTACCTGAGGCTCATCGATGAAGAAGCTCACACATCCTGAACTGAGGTTGAAATCGATCCAGAACTTGTCCAGTTTGTCATCTTTTGGAGGAAACAGCTGCAGAAGAAGAAAACACGCAGAGTGACGGTGGGCGGAGTCTGCAGAGGTGAGACCTGCAGAGGTCAGACTTTAGGTAGAAATGTTTTACCTCTGTGGAGTCGAGGAACGCTCTGAGGCAGGGGAAGCTGTAGACCCTGACAGACACAACGCAGAGAAAAATCACCACCGTGAAGAGAATTGATCACATTCAGGTTCAATGACCGTTCATCACCTCCTCTGGTCGCCATGGTGACCGTTGATAAAATTCAGGAAACGGCGACAGTCCTGTAGAGAGAGAAAGACGGGTCATAGAGAGACAGAGACACACACAGAGAGAGAGAGAGAGACAGGTGTTCACTCACCACCTCAAAGTCTCCGTCTCTGATGTCACAGAAGGCGGTGCTGATGTCACAGCTGGAGAACCATTGATTGGCTCTCTGCTCTCGGTCCTTCCTGGGAGTCAGACGGCACAGAGCCTCTGATAGGCTGACCTGCAGCTCGTAGTCTGAAACAATAAAACCCCTCAGCTTCTGTCTCTGAGGATCATCAGGGGACTTCTGCTAAGCTAGTTAGCTTCTCAAGCTAGTTAGCTCAGACTGTACTGGTAGTGGGGGTGTTGCTGTATCACAGTAATGTACAGCTGTTCATATTTACTGTACTAGCATTTGGGGGGGCGCTTCCTGCTGATGTCATTAATGATATTCGACTATAAACCGCTCAGATACAAACTCACCGCCAGCTGTCAGGACTGCTGCTGACATCTGGGATCTGTCAGACAGACAGGTAGACAGACAAAGATCAAATGATAAAGTCTGTGTGTACATTGTGTGTACTCTGTGTGTATTGTGTGTACATTGTGTGTACTCTGTGTACATTACAGTATTTGGATCTGGTTTTGGTCGTTCTGGATCAGTCTCCTTTGCTCTCTGCTCAGAGACTCCAGGATGCTGTTGAAGGTTCTGATGGCCTGAAACAAGAAAAACAACTTTCAACTCAGAGAAAGACCAGTAGAGACCAATATATACCGATATAGACCAATAGAGACCAGCAGAGACCAGTGGAAACCAATAGAGACCAGTATAGACCAGTAGAGACTAGCAGAGACCAATAGAGACCAGTATAGACCAGTGTAGACAAGTAAAGACCAGTATAGTCCAATAGAGACCAGCAGAGACCAGTACAGACTAGCAAAGACCAGTAGAGACCAGTAAAGACCAGCAAAGACCAGTAAAGACCAGCAAAGACCAGCAGAGACCAGCAGAGACCAGCAGAGACCAGCAGAGACCAGTACAGACTAGCAAAGACCAGCAGAGACCAATACAGACTAGCAAAGACCAGCAGAGACCAGTACAGACCAGCAAAGACCAGCAAAGACCAGCAAAGACCAGTAGAGACCAGCAGAGACCAATAGAGACCAGCAGAGACCAGTACAGACCAGCAAAGACCAGCAGAGACCAGCAGAGACCAGCAAAGGCCGGCAGAGACCAGTACAGACCAGAAAAGACCGGCAGAGACCAGTACAGACCAGCAGAGACCAGCAAAGACCAGCAAAGGCCGGCAGAGACCAGTACAGACCAGAAAAGACCGGCAGAGACCAGTACAGACCAGCAGAGACCAGTAGAAACCAGTAGAAACCGGCAGAGACCAGCAGAGACCAGCAGAGACCAGCAGAGACCAGTAGAAACCAGTAGAGACCAGCAGAGACCAGCAGAGACCAGCAGAGAGGTTACCTCCAGTCTCAGTGGAAAGTGGATTTCCGGTTCCAGCGCGAACCGAGCCAGTTGAAGAAGAACCACAGACAGCTGACTGACTGAGAGACAGACAGGTACACAGACAGGTGTGTTTAGAGACCAACATGTGACACAAAGTAAATCCATCAAAGACACAGAGACTGACCTGGAAGAGAGGCTTGACCCAGCAGCTGACAGACAGGCAGACAGGCAGACAGGCAGGCAAACAGGCAGGCAGGCAGGCAGGCAGGCAGGCAGGCAGGCAGACAGACAGGCAGACAGGCAGACAGAAGGGGCTGGTAGGTGAGTCCTGATTGGTTGAAACAGCGTGAACTAATATCAACAGTCTAACTGACAGGAGACTTCATCTCCCAGCATGCTCCTCACCAGGAAGTAGTCATAAAACTCCTCAGTGAGGCTCAACAAGGAGGCGGAGTTCTTCTGGAGGTCAGAGGTGAGCAGATCATGGACAGCTTCGAACCACAACAACACCTAAACAAACAAACAATAAACAGACAAACAACAGCGTAGAGCTATATGAACAACATTTTATACTTTAAACCAACGAGTAGTATTCCCTTTACACAGTCACACTTTATATCGCAGTGGGCCTAATAATTATATATATATATATATATATATATATATATATATATATATATATATATATATCTAGCACTATCTGAGCTCAGTGTGCTTAATAATTATAAAATTATATATATATATATATATATATATATATATCTAGCACTATCTGAGCTCAGTGTGCTTAATAATTATAAAATTATATATATATATATATATTATTATATAATTATTCTTGCACTATCTGTGCTCAGTGTCCTTAATAATTATATATATATATTATATATATGTCTGTTTCCATTACAGAGCATGTGAATGCAGCTCCCACTGTCCCTCAATATAATGCACTGTAACTCTGAGGTCACTATGGTTACCCAGCGATGTCCAGTAGTCTCCAGTGAGAGCAACAGTTGGTGCATTTTCCACAATACTAAATTATAATATAATATACCTATCTTCCACAATACTAATCAACAGCAGTTTGAAGCTATTGTATTATATTATATTATTAATATATTATATCATATTACAGTGAGCAACATATATTCTATTATTAATATATTATTTTATATTATATTCTTAAGAAGAATAAAAAATAGGAAAAACAACTGCGTTAATGCGTGATAAAATAATTACAGTTTACAGATTACTCTCAGAGATTACCCTCAATTTACAGATTACTCTCAGATTACAGATTACTCTCAGATTACCCTCAATTTACAAATTACACTCAGATTACAGAATACTCAGAGATTACCCTCAGTTTACAGATTACTGTCAGATTACAGATTACCCTCAGATATTACTCTCAGATTACAGATTACTCTCAGAGATTACCCTCAGTTTACAGATTACTGTCAGATTACAGATTACCCTCAGATATTACCCTCAGATTACAGATTACTCTCAGAGATTACCCTCAGTTTACAGATTACTCTCAGATTACAGAATACTCTCAGAGATTACTCTCAGATTACAGATTACTGTCAGATTACAGATTACTCTCAGAGATTACTGTCAGATTACTTTAGCAGTCAGTCCGTGGTGGAGCAGCGTATGCAGGTCGTCTCTGTTCTCAGACAGAATCTGTAAAGACTTCAACACAACCAGAACTCTGCTGAAACCAGATCCACACAGATCCTGAAACAAACAAACAAACAAACAATCAATACACATTACAAAATCTTTGTTGGTTCTTAGGCTGACTGTTGTCATAGCAACAAGTCCTGACAGGAAGTCTCACTGACACAATTATTATTGATTATTGATCCTGATCATGATCAAAGTAAACTAAATACAAACAAACCTCAAATAACCTTTAATTAAACAATTAGAAATTAAAATTATCAATCATTATTACATCTATCAATACGTATGGATTTCTTTCATACAATTAACACACACACACACATACACATACACACATACACAGTGCCAATATATGATCAATATATATAAATCTACCCAGATCAGCACTAACACAGTGGGTATATCAGGGCTCCTGTCAGTGGGGGGGGTATATCAGGGCTCCTGTCAGTGGGGGGGGGTATATCAGGGCTCCTGTCAGTGGGGGGGGGTATATCAGGGCTCCTGTCAGTGGGGGGTATATCAGGGCTCCTGTCAGTGGGGGGGGGTATATCAGGGCTCCTGTCAGTGGGGGGGTATATCAGGGCTCCTGTCAGTGGGGGGGGTATATCAGGGCTCCTGTCAGTGGGGGGGGGTATATCAGGGCTCCTGTCAGTGGGGGGTATATCAGGGCTCCTGTCAGTGGGGGGGGGTATATCAGGGCTCCTGTCAGTGGGCGGGGGTATATCAGGGCTCCTGTCAGTGGGGGGTATATCAGAGCTCCTGTCAGTGGGGGGTATATCAGGGCTCCTGTCAGTGGGGGGTATATCAGAGCTCCTGTCAGTGGGGGGGGGTATATCAGGGCTCCTGTCAGTGGGGGGGTATATCAGAGCTCCTGTCAGTGGGGGGGGGGTATATCAGGGCTCCTGTCAGTGGGGGGTATATCAGAGCTCCTGTCAGTGGGGGGGGTATATCAGAGCTCCTGTCAGTGGGGGGTATATCAGGGCTCCTGTCAGTGGGGGGTATATCAGGGCTCCTGTCAGTGGGGGGGGTGGGGGGTATATCAGTCTATATACTGTTAGTACTGATCAATTTATCAGTGTATATACATCCCGTTACCGTGGTAACCAGCTGGTCCAGTGTGGTGAGTGTGATGCTGGTCAGACCCTCAGAGTGAAGAACAGAAACCAGATCAGACGAGTTGCCGCGGATCAGACAGTCCTCCATCTTCAGCTGATTATTAAAGTAATCACTCATTAGTTATCAATAATTCAATCATTATTAAAGTAATCAATCATTAGTTATCAATAATTCAATCATTATTAAAGTAATCAATCATTAGTTATCAATAATTCAATCATTATTAAAGTAATCAATCATTAGTTATCAATAATTCAATCATTATTAAAGTAATCAATATTAAAGTAATCAATCATTAGTTATCAATAATTCAATCATTATTAAAGTAATCAATCATTATTAAAGTAATCAATCATTAGTTATCAATAATTCAATCATTATTAAAGTAATCAATCATTAGTTATCAATAATTCAATCATTATTAAAGTAATCAATCATTAGTTATCAATAATTCAATCATTATTAAAGTAATCAATCAATATTAAAGTAATCAATCATTAGTTATCAATAATTCAATTATTATTAAAGTAATCAATCAATATTAAAGTAATCAATCATTAGTTATCAATAATTCAATCAATATTAAAGTAATCAATCATTATTCAAGTAATCAATCATTATTAAAGTAATCAATCATTAGTTATCAATAATTCAATCATTAGTAAAGTAATCAATCATTATTAAAGTAATCAATCATTAGTTATCAATAATTCAATTATTATTAAAGTAATCAATCATTAGTTATCAATAATTCAATCATTATTAAAGTAATCATTCATTATTAAAGTAATCAATCAATATTAAAGTAATCAATTAGTTATCAATAATTCAATCATTATTAAAGTAACCAATCATTAGTTATCAATAATTCAATCATTAGTTATCAATAATTCAATCATTATTAAAGTAATCATTCATTATTAAAGTAATCAATCAATATTAAAGTAATCAATCATTAGTTATCAATAATTCAATCATTATTAAAGTAACCAATCATTAGTTATCAATAATTCAATCATTAGTTATCAATAATTCAATCATTATTAAAGTAATCAATCATTATTAAAGTAATCAATCATTAGTTATCAATAATTCAATCATTATTAAAGTAATCAATCATTATTAAAGTAATCAATCATTAGTTATCAATAATTCAATCAATATTAAAGTAATCAATCATTAGTTATCAATAATTCAATCAATATTAAAGTAATCAATCATTATTCAAGTAATCAATCATTAGTTATCAATAATTCAATCATTAGTTATCAATAATTCAATTATTATTAAAGTAATCAATCATTATTAAAGTAATCGATCATTAGTTATCAATAATTCAATCATTATTAAAGTTATCAATCATTATTAAAGTAATCAATCATTAGTTATCAATAATTCAATCATTATTAATGTAATCAATCAATATTAAAGTAATCAATCATTATTAAAGTAATCAATCATTAGTTATCAATAATTCAATCATTAGTTATCAATAATTCAATCATTATTAAAGTAATCAATCATTAGTTATCAATAATTCAATCATTATTAAAGTAATCAATCATTATTAAAGTAATCAATCATTATTAAAGTAATCAATCATTAGTTATTAATAATTCAATCATTATTAAAGTAATCAATCATTAGTTATCAATAATTCAATCATTAGTTATCAATAATTCAATCATTATTAAAGTAATCAATCATTATTAAAGTAATCAATCATTAGTTATTAATAATTCAATCATTATTAAAGTAATCAATCATTAGTTATCAATAATTCAATCATTAGTTATCAATAATTCAATCATTATTAAAGTAATCAATATTAAAGTAATCAATCATTAGTTATCAATAATTCAATCATTATTAAAGTAATCAATCATTATTAAAGTAATCAATCATTAGTTATTAATAATTCAATCATTATTAAAGTAATCAATCATTAGTTATCAATAATTCAATCATTAGTTATCAATAATTCAATCATTATTAAAGTAATCAATCATTATTAAAGTAATCAATCATTAGTTATCAATAATTCAATCATTATTAAAGTAATCAATCATTATTAAAGTAACAAACAGCACAACAACTACTACAACAACAACAACAACAAGTACAACAACTACAACAACCAGCACCACAATAACAACAATAACAACAACAACAACAACACTTCCTTCCTGTTTGTATGTTGGTGACACAATAACAGGAACACGTGCAGCAGGGACATCTTCTAATCAGATCGATCTGATCGATTGGCTCACACTCATCAGTGATTGGATATTTTCAGTTCAAAGTGATCGGGATCAATCAATAACATCAATCAATCAATCAGACAGCCGATCGATCAGTTCAAGTTGGAATAACAGCAATAATAATCAATCACTTTTACCATCGTGTCTCCTCTCTCAGCGTGTCGGGAGCGCGCACAGCCGCGTGCACAGCTGCAGCCAATTAACTCATCAGAGCGGAGGCCGCGCAGGCGCACTGAGAGAGAATAGTCCAGGCAGCAGCGGAGGGATATCAGCTTCATTTCAGCCAAACAACAACAACAACAACAACAACAACAACAACAACAATAATAATGGAGACTCACTGCTGGCGCCTCCGGTGGCCGCTAGAGGAACTGCGGTCTGCTGACTGGTTTTAACAGGTGTGTTTTATTGTGAAAGTTGTGAGCGGAAGTCACGTGGTGTGTAGTGTATCTGCTGCAGAGTGTGTGTGTGTGTTTATGTTGCTCTGCGGCTCCGTTCAGAACTCCACTGGAAATCTGCTCATTTTAACCCATCGGCTAACCGACCTGGCGGCCGGAGTGCCGCTGAGCAAACGGCTCCTGCTGATGAACCGTGAGTACAGCGGAGTTACACAGCGTGTGTGTGTGTGTGTGTGTGTGTGTGTGTGTGTGTGTGTGTGTGTGTGTGTGTGTGTGTGTGTGTGTGTGTGTGTGTTTCTCAGGGAGTTCACAGCCCTAAAGCTCGGCTGTTTGCTAGCCTACGTTCGCTAAGCTAGTGAGTTCCATTATCGGACAGGGTTTAGCTCGAGCAGCTGACTGAAGAGTTTCAACACTGATAATTGATCCTGATAATTGATCCTGATAATTGATCCTGATAATTGATCATTTAAGTTCAAACTGTGTTGATTGATATTGTTCTTAAACTGTGAGATGATTTAACTATGAATGTGCAGCAACCGACCACTGCTCACTCTGTATTATTCCGTTAGGAAACGAACCTGCTTTTAAAAACCTGCACATTTCAGGCTGAATTTGAAAAGAAACCGCGATCCGCCTCTCGTTAATAATAAATGTGTCTTTGCTGAATCCCCAACATCCTCTCTGTTAATTCGGCTGTAACTAATTGACTGACATCCATCCAAATGTGAAACAGTAAGAGTTTCTGTGCGGTCGGCACTGCGGCTGCGCGCTGTTCACAGTAACAGGTGACTTCGTTCTACAAGATGAAGCTCTTTGAAGAAAAATGGCTGCTTTGTGTTTTGGATCTTTACTGAATTTTATCACATTAATGTGCAGCTTGTTGTAGACGAAGGCAAACCTTAAAATGGAGGATTTTTAAATGGACTTCGGCGGAGTTATGTTCTGACATCCAGAGTCACACCTGTACCTGCTGATGAGCAGCTGAATTATTAACCAGTTTACAGGAGGACACCTGACACTGTCCCCATGAACTCACCTGCTCAGGTGTTTGCTGACAACTTTTATAAATGATTGATTACTGAACTACTAACTCACTTCATTATTGTAAACAACAAACTAACAAACAGTTGGGCCCCTTCAAGGGTTCCTGTATTGTTAATAGTAAAGCTAAAGACATTATTAATATTAACTGATGATTGTTGTTTGTATGATTGGATCAGGAGGATCATCTTTTTAGTGAAATTAATAGAATTTATACATTAACTGCAGTTAGTAAATCTGACAGGGAATAAAAAGTGTAGTCATATTTACCTGCTGAAGTTCCTCATGATCTCTAACAGCAGTTTATCACTGAACTGCACACACACTCAGCTCTTCCTCTTTCATCCTCTTCCTCCTCACTTCAGCTGATCACATGTTCCTCTGTGGACACTAAATATTACAGTTTGATCCAGCTACAGCTACAGCTACAGCTACAGCTACAGTACGAGCTACAGCTACAGCTACAGTACGAGCTACAGTACGAGCTACAGTACGAGCTACAGTACGAGCTACAGCTACAGCTACAGTACGAGCTACAGTACGAGCTACAGTACGAGCTACAGCTACAGCTACAGCTACAGTACGAGCTACAGTACGAGCTACAGCTACAGCTACAGTACGAGCTACAGCTACAGTACGAGCTACAGCTACAGCTACAGTACGAGCTACAGCTACAGTACGAGCTACAGCTACAGCTACAGCTACAGCTACAGTACGAGCTACAGCTACAGTACGAGCTACAGCTACAGCTACAGCTACAGTACGAGCTACAGCTACAGCTACAGTACGAGCTACAGCTACAGCTACAGTACGAGCAGCAGCTACAGCTACAGCTACAGTACGAGCTACAGCTACAGTACGAGCTACAGCTACAGTACGAGCTACAGCTACAGCTACAGCTACAGTACGAGCTACAGCTACAGCTACAGCTACAGCTACAGTACGAGCAGCAGCTACAGCTACAGCTACAGTACGAGCTACAGCTACAGCTACAGTACGAGCTACAGCTACAGCTACAGTACGAGCTACAGCTACAGTACGAGCTACAGCTACAGTACGAGCTACAGCTACAGCTACAGTACGAGCTACAGCTACAGCTACAGCTACAGCTACAGTACGAGCTACAGCTACAGCTACAGTACGAGCTACAGCTACAGCTACAGTACGAGCTACAGCTACAGCTACAGTACGAGCTACAGCTACAGCTACAGTACGAGCAGCAGCTACAGCTACAGTACGAGCTACAGCTACAGTACGAGCTACAGCTACAGTACGAGCTACAGCTACAGTACGAGCTACAGTACGAGCTACAGCTACAGCTACAGTACGAGCTACAGCTACAGTACGAGCAGCAGCTACAGTACGAGCTACAGCTACAGCTACAGCTACAGTACGAGCAGCAGCTACAGCTACAGTACGAGCTACAGCTACAGTACGAGCAGCAGCTACAGCTACAGCTACAGCTACAGTACGAGCAGCAGCTACAGCTACAGCTACAGCTACAGTACGAGCAGCAGCTACAGCTACAGCTACAGTACGAGCTACAGCTACAGTACGAGCAGCAGCTACAGCTACAGTACGAGCTACAGCTACAGTACGAGCTACAGCTACAGCTACAGTACGAGCTACAGTACGAGCTACAGCTACAGCTACAGTACGAGCTACAGCTACAGCTACGAGCTACAGCTACAGTACGAGCAGCAGCAGGTCGTCGTGGTTTGAGATGTTTTCATGAGTCTGGACTGAGTTCAGTTAACAGCTGTTACTCATTAAGATGTTTCAGTGCATCATTCACATTGTGGGTGTTGAACTTTGACCCCTCGCAGTCAGAAACACTGTACCAGTAAAAGTGACTGAGTGAATCTGTTGTTATTGATCATGTTAATGTCCCACTGTGGGATGAACTGTTCAGTCTGTTCCACTGAATGATGCTAACCTAACAGGTAGCATGTTTAGCATGAACAATCAGCTGGACAGTAACGGAGGTTTTGGGATTGTTGAGGACTCTGAATCCAATTCTGACATTTTCAAAATACAAAATGGACGTTTAAACAGGAAGTGGACACATTTCAACATTGGGAGGTTATTGATATGATCATTTTAGAATTGGTGTGATTGGAGTTTAGTTAGTGTGTTAGATGTTGATCATATCAATAAACTTAAAATGGACATGGGCTGTGACTTTACTGTCTCTCTCTCTCTCTCTCTGCAGCAGTGTGATGTAAGGCGATGCTCGCTCGGCCACCATGGCCAGTGTTACGCTGAGGTACTTCTGCTATGGCTGCCTCGTCACCTCGGCGACATGGTCCGTCCTCCTCTTCCTCTACTTCTCTCTGGGGGCGGAGCCTGGACGCGGCAGGACCCCCCTGCAGCACCGCAGCCAGCCAATCACCAAGGGCCTGGTGGACGGAAGGGCCGGGCGTCGGCCTCTGCCGGCCAATAAGGGAGTGGAGCTGTCTCCAGAGATGGGTGAGGGGGGGTTCAGAGTGGTGGTGCTGGGTCATTGGTTTATTATGTAACATCTTAATCTGAATGGCCCTCCAGCTGTCAGATAAAGGTAGTGCAGGAGTTTAAGGTCTGTGTCTGCCTGCAGGGATGATCTTTAATGAAGCAGACCAGGATGTGAGGGACACCGGGTACCATCGACACGCCTTCAACGTCCTCATCTCCACCAGACTGGGATACCACAGAGAGCTGCCCGACACCAGAGACTCCCAGTAAGTTACTGGTAAACTGGTGGTTAGTGGTAGTAAACTGCTGGTTACTGACAGTGAGCTGCTCCCTACAGGTGTCGGGATAAGGTGTATCCTCCGGCTCTACCTTCTGCCAGTGTAGTGATCTGTTTCTTCAACGAGGCGTTCTCTGCCCTGCTGAGGACCGTTCACAGCGTGCTGGACCGAACGCCGACCTACCTGCTGCATGAGATCATCCTGGTGGACGACCACAGCGAGCTCGGTAACACCCAGGAAAAGTTTATCACAACGGTTTAATATTAATATTTAGTATATTTTATTTTAACGATTGTACCTTGAACGTATCATGAACGTACCCTGAATGCATCCTGAATGTCCCGAACTTCACCTGAACGTTCCTGAACGTGTCCTGAACGTACCCTGAACGTGTCCTGAACGTACCCTGAACGTACCCTGAACGTGTCCTGAACGTACCCTGAACGTACCCTGAACGTGTCCTGAACGTACCCTGAACGTGTCCTGAACGTGTCCTGAACGTACCCCGAACGTGTCCTGAACGTACCCCGAACGTGTCCTGAACGTACCCCGAACGTGTCCTGAACGTACCCCGAACGTACCCTGAACGTGTCCTGAACGTACCCTGAACGTGTCCTGAACGTACCCTGAACGTACCCTGAACGTACCCTGAACGTGTCCTGAACGTACCCCGAACGTGTCCTGAACGTGTCCTGAACGTACCCGAACGTGTCCTGAACGTACCCTGAACGTACCCTGAACGTGTCCTGAACGTACCCTGAACGTGTCCTAACAACGACTGTGTGTGAACTGAGTGTTTGTGTTGATTCAGAGGAGCTGAAGGACGACTTGGATCGGTACGTCAGGGAGGAGCTGCAGGGGAAAGTCAAGCTGGTGAGGAACCAGAAGAGGGAAGGACTCATCAGAGGACGCATGATAGGAGCTTCACATGCTACCGGTACGTCCTACCTCCTTAACCGGTTCTTTGTATCCTTAAGCAGTACGTCCTTGTTGCTGCTTCCTTAATACGTATATTCTTGTCTGAGCTGTCAATCTCTGTTCAGTCTGTATATTGGTCCAGTCGGGCCTCCGTATCCAGTCAGAGTAAACCAGGACTCACCTGTCCGTGTGTGTCCAGGTGAGGCGCTGGTCTTCCTGGACAGTCACTGCGAGGTGAACCAGGCGTGGCTGCAGCCTCTGCTGGCTCCAATACATAAGGACCGCCACACCGTCGTCTGCCCCGTCATCGACATCATCTCAGCCGACACTCTGTCCTACTCGCCCTCGCCCATCGTCAGGGGCGGCTTCAACTGGGGGCTTCACTTCAAGTGGGACCCTGTTCCCCCCTCTGAGCTCAATGGCCGCGAGGGAACTACTGGACCAATCAGGTAACCAGCTGACCAATCAGGTAACCAGCTGACCAATCAGGTAACCTCACCACTATTGCCCCCCCTCCCCCACAGGTCCCCCACGATGGCTGGTGGTCTGTTTGCTATGGACAGGAAGTACTTTAACGAGCTCGGTCAGTACGATGGCGGCATGGACATCTGGGGCGGAGAAAACCTGGAGATCTCCTTCAGGGTGAGAACGCTGTTTTACTGACTGTCAGTGAAGGTGTCATTCAGTCCTGAGGCTGAGAGAACAATCTGAGATAGGAGGTGTAACTGAGCGTCTCTCACTCAGATCTGGATGTGCGGCGGTCAGCTGCTCATCATCCCGTGCTCCAGAGTCGGTCACATCTTCAGGAAGAGGAGACCCTACGGCTCTCCCGGGGGGCAGGACACCATGGCCCACAATTCCCTGCGGCTGGCACACGTATGGATGGACGACTACAAGGTACACACACACACACACACACACACACACACACAGCAGCGTCCTCTGACCTCACTTCCTGTGTCTCTGTGGTCCAATCAGGAGCAGTATCTGTCCCTGCGTCCAGAGCTACGGGACCGCAGCTACGGTGACATCAGTGAGCGTGTGGCGTTGAGGAAGCGGCTGCAGTGCCGGTCCTTCCGCTGGTACCTGGACACGGTCTACCCCGAGATGCAGACTGTCGCCAACGGCAACAAGCAGCAGCAGCCCGTGTTCATCAATAAAGGACTGCGACGGCCCAAAGTCCTGCAGAGAGGACGGGTACCTGAACACATCTTTCATACAGATTAATAGTCAGTGTTCACAACCTGCAGCTCTCGTCATCAATAACTTATTATTATTATTATTATTAGTCATTCATGGATTCATTGATCTGTAAACATCTGAGAGTCGTCAATGAACCTGAAAATATTCAGTTTCCTTCTGTTACAAACAAAAGCAGCAAATTCTCATCAATTAACATCGTTACCATAGCGAAAATGAAAAGTGATTATTGAATATTAGTTCATTAATTCTATTCCTCGACTTTGGGGCCCACCTGTTGTGAATTTTTCAGTTTCCATGGAAACAGGAAGGTCAGACAGGATTTCCTGGTCATGTGATGTGTATTTGTACTATCAAAATAAAAGACCTTCTTTTAACAACCGTTGCCATGGCGAAACCAGACAACAAAGGGAAGTATAAGTATAGTTCATTCTGCTGATAAAAGTCTCTAAAGTAATACAACCTGAGGGTCGGGACCCCCACCAGGGGTTCCCAACCTGAGGGTCGGGAGGCCTTCTTGATTTTAAAATGATTTAAAACGTTTCCACAAGACAGACATGAATGAAACGGATTATTGATCATTTGATCAGCTGTTCTCTGCTGTTATTGATACTGATCAATATGGATTATTCTTTACCTACAGTCAGTTTGTAACTCGTCCGTATGAGGAACCTTCATCAACTACCCAGAATGCCTCTGTAAACATTTATTGATCACACACACAACGCTGTCTTTCAGCTCCGTAACCTAGCAACCGGGCGTTGTCTGGTGGCTCAGGGCCGAGCCAGTCAGAAGGGCGGAGTTGTTGTCCTGCGACCGTGTGACCCCCGAGATCCCGAACAGGTAAACATCTGTACACAGTGTCACACAGCCTGGGGGGTGGGGCCTGGATCCTGTCTCACTGTGTGTGTGTGTGTGCAGGACTGGGCCTACGATGAAGAGGGTCAGCTGGTCCTGGCAGGTCTGCTGTGCCTGGATGTGTCAGAGGTCAGGACCTTTGACCCCCCCAGACTGATGAAGTGTCACGGCTCGGGGGGGTCACAGCAGTGGAGCCTGGGGGTAAGACACACACACACACACACACAGACAGTGAGACAGGATCCAGCCCCCCATTAATGAATCAGTAAACAATCAATCAGTAAACAATCATACACTGTATATACACACTATTTATATATAAATAATATAATATAATATAATATAGTGCAGACAGTGCAGCATCTGCAGTTTACGGGGCAGAGGTCAAATAAAGACTGAAGCCATGTTTCTCAGGTTGTCAGTGTAGTTCCCGTGGTAGGCCTCTGGGGGGCAGTGTAATATAACTCAGTGAGTCCTCCACATCCAGGTCTTCCTGTGTCCCCCCAGTCCTCACAGTCTCTGCAGGATCCAGGTCTTCCTGTGTCCCCCATCCTCACTCAGTGTCTCTGTCTCCTGTAGAAGTCCAACCGGCTCTACCAGGTCTCCGTGGGTCAGTGTCTCTCGGTCGCTCAGCCGGTCGGGCCCAAGGGTTACGTCTCCATGGCGATATGTGACGCCTCGCAGGGACAGCAGTGGCAGCTGGAGGCCTGATGACATCACAGCGCTGTGTGACGGACGGATTCAGTCCGGCGTTGATGGACACTTTAGATCTTTTGTGTTTTTACGGTTTTAGTTTTTTTTCTCTCAGGACGACTTTTATTAACCAGCAGCTTTTATTTGATTTCTAAAAGAGAAGATTTTTAAAGAGTCATTTTAGTTTGAAAGGGTCACGGTTTCACTTCCTGGAGGGATGAAGGTCAGACCGTCCGGAAAGATCCTGAAATGTTCAGAGGTTTGAAGTTTGTGGCACTGTTTGGCTGATTTGTGTTTCCATTAGAACGACCAGAGTCGGGGCGCGTCCTGTTGGCGGCTCGCAGACCGCCGCCAACAGGACGAACCTCCTGCTTCTTTTAAAAGTCTCTGACCCTCAAACTCCACTGGGCTACAGCAGCGACGCGTTCCAGCTGCGCGGCGGTAGCCACAGCCGATGGCTGGAAAACCTGGAAATTTTTGAAAATAAATGGATGCTGGAAATAATCTGTGTTGTCCTGAAAAAGTTTGTTTTTAAGATTCCGATAATCAGACTGGAAGTTTTGGTACATCATCCGTGAAGAAACGTCTGCAGACGCTCTGCACTCATACAGCCGGTTATTAGTTCATATTATTATTGATCACATCGGGGTTAATAAAGTTCAGAGACTGCAACCCGTTCTAGCAGAGCCCCCACACTTCCTGGAAAACCTGGAAAACCTTGAAATGAGCCTAGTTTTCCAGTGGTGGAAACAGCTGGAAATGGTCAGTGTTGTCCCTCAGACTGAAGCAGTCCACAGACGTGGAACCGACTGATGTCAGTGCGCCGGAGAGACCACAGCGTCTGCAGAGAGCGCCACGAGTAAACGCTGAGCGCCGACCGGAAGACGTATCGGTGCTGGACCTTCAGGGATTGTGAGTGCTGTGAACTCTCCTATAAAATGATGTAAAAAGAGCGGGAACCCTGATCTCTGCGTCGTAAAGCCGAACCTGGTGGAGCTTCAGGGTTTCATCTTCTGACTGAACTGAAATATCCACAGATAGAAAGATGGCCGACATGAATCCAGACCGCTGTCTCTACCTCTATAGAAGTAGGCGGTTTATTTTATAATCATTTTGGTTTTAATTACTTATTGGAAGATATCAAAAAAAGGGTTTCACTGACAGACTGACACCTGAGCCCTGTGTGGCGTGTGGGCGGGACCTCGATACGGCGCCGATGACCCTGATCACTACGTCACTGACTCTGACTTTGTTTCGGTACAGTAGGAGGAAGTGGAGATGGCGGCCATCTTTAAATGTGGATGGTTACATTCAGATGTTCGCTGTCAGCTCTAAGAGTCCAGTATTTCATAATAAAGTCTTTAAAACAACAAAATAACCAGGACTTTTATTGTGAAGAATTGTGTGTCTGTCTGTCTGTCTGTCTGTCTGTGTGTGTATCAATAAACTCAATTGGTCCCTAAACTCCAACAGTGAGATCAATAAGGTTAAATACTGTGTGTGTAATAACAGTCGAAATGAGTCAGCCCCAAATAATTAACTTCACACACACACAAACACACACTGTAATAATGTATTTTATAATATTGACTCTGTATGGAGGACATGAAGTGCCAGAATTATACATAAATAAATGACTTCCATTCAGTGCACCACAATAATAAAATATTAATGCTTAATTATTAATTAGTTCCTGTTTAATTTGGCATTTTATTAGTTCATTGATTAATAAGTAATTTTACTTTGAATGATTCAATTCAATTCAATTCAATTTTATTTGTATAGCGCCAATTCATAACAGAAGTTATCTCAGGACACTTTTCAAATAGAGCAGGTCTAGACCGAACTCTTTATAACATTAATTACAGAGACCCAACAGTACCACCATGAGCAAGACCTTGGAGACAGGGGCAAGGAAACACTGCCTGTTAAAAGGCAGAAACCTAGGACAGATCCTCCGGCTCTAGGTGGGTGGTCGTCTGTCTCGACCAGTTGGGGTGAGAGAGAGAGAGAGACAGACAGACAGACAGACAGGTGCACAGCAACAACAGTATTGGCAATGGCAGTCAAGCAGGACCATGGCAGGAGGCTCCACCAGGATCCATGAGAACCTGCGAGACGAGAAAGCACAAGAACTCCGGGGAAGAAGTGAAGTTAGTAACATGCATTAATGGAACATGAATGAGTGCAGAAAGAGAGAGGAAGAGAGGAGCTCAGTGCACCATGGGAAATCCCCCGATAGTCTAGGCCTATAGCAGCATAACTAAGGGATGGTTCAGGACTCACCTGATCCAGCCCTAACTATAAGCTTTATCAAAGAGGAATGTCTTAAGCCTACTCTTGAATGTGGAGAGGGTGTCTGCCTCCAGAACCACAATGATGAGTTGTGGAAATTGTTTCATACTTATGATGATTTAACAGATTGTTTACTTTAACACATCCTGAACTTTGACATTCACTGTAAAAAAACAAAAGATAAATAACTGTCAATATTCCAGCAGCCAAAAAATACAGTAAACAGAAAATAACTAATACAGTAATTTTATTATTTCTTTCACTTTAATTTGACCTTTTTTTCAGTTGAATTTGTATTTGTTCTCTAACTCTGTGGATTATAAATTATTAAATTATCCTAAATTTAACTTTACTGACTTATTGTGAATAATCCCTTCTGTTGAATGTTTTTAATGTAAATCATTTTCATTATCTGAAATATAAAGCAAATCTAATAAAATGAAATAGCTTTAAATACATTTTGACCAATGACTCAGAACAATATAATAATAATAATAATAATAATAATAATAATAATAATAATAATAATAGTAATAATTAATATTAATTGTTCCGGCAGTCAATGAAGCCACAAACAAACATTTTATTTAGAAAAGTGTCCAAAGTCTTGGTTGCACAAACACTCACATCAATATGAGGACTTTAATTTAAAGACCCTCAGATAAGGACAGTGTCCCATCTGGAAGTCTCTCTCTCTCTCTCTCTCTCTCTCTCTCTCTCTCTCTCATTAAAAGGTGCTATACCTTAACCTCCAGAGTGTCTACTGTACACCCACTTAAAGTACCTGCACAGAAAACAGGATAAGCCACAGGACCAGGAACAGGAAGACAGGGTGGAGTGGGTCGTCACCCCCATCAGAAGGGGTCCGACAGGATCTCCGTCAACACAACAAACAATAACATAAAAAATAAATAAAATAGCACAACTTACGTCCTGTAAACTTCCAGTCCCAAAGCCACTCCCCAGCAAGCACTCTACCTGTAGGGAACTTAAGGGAATGCAGAGGAAGAGGAATCACAGGAGATAAACTACTTTCTATCCACTACTCCAAAACTGGAGCTCGCGACATCCGCAACTACATTATCACAGCCTCTAACGTGTCCAGTGTCTAGATCATGAGACTTGCAGGAACAGTGACCACCTAATCAGTCTCTGGTTAGGGTGTGCAAAAAGGTGAGTGGGTTGGGGTCTGTGTAGACCACCACTGGTGTCACCCCAGACCCCACATAGACTGCAAAATGCTGAAGGGCCCAGATTAACGCAAGGGCCTTCTCAATCACAGAGTAGTTTAACTGATACGGGTTAGTACTGCCCTGTCCACTCCCTGCTCCTACATGGCTCGCAGCTACCTGGAAGACAAAGGGAGGGGTCGTCACACACTGTATGCCTCAAAGCTTCCCATGTTGTTCTAATGTTATGAAATCACTAATCAAAGGCATCATTGCTATTGATCAATGCAGCCCGATGGATGTACGGGCTATAAGGAGGTTGCATACAAAGATTTTAGTGAAGGCACAAACTGAACACACCTTCTATTGTTTCTGGTTCCACCACACTGAACTTCTTTCTATCGTATTTCTTCTGTTTCCAGGCAGTCGACAGTGGACCAAGGAAGTACCTTGTAACAAATGGGTTGTAGTTTTTTGGGTGGCACAGAAACAGCTCTTCAGGTAGTTCATTCACAGCTGCACTCAGCACCAGAAAGGCATTTTATAACTTTTATAGACACATTTTAGTTCAATAACCTTTATCAATCCTTTAATTCTTCATCAGAAAACTCTTCATCATGTAAGTGGTCAGTAGTGTCACCATTAAATCCTTGATTGGGGGTTATTGAACTGCAAACACACAACTGACAGACGGACATTAGACATTATTAGACGAGGATATTTTATTAATATTTCCATATAAATAACGAGAAGAAGCTCGTAACGGATGTTTTACACATTACAACGTATGAATGACTAAAACGAACATATGTCAGAGAATGAACATGTGTTTGATATGTGTGAATAAGATAAAGGACACAATGTGTAAAAAAAACAAATTAGTTTCTCTCTGTAATGTTATTAAATGACTTTTATCTGAACAGTGTTTCTTTCATATCCACTGTGTGTGTGTGTGTGTGTGTGTGTGTGTGTGTGTGTGTGTGTGTGTGTGTGTGTGTGTGTGTGTGTGTGATTGCAGCAGCAGACAGTTAATGAGACATCATGCAGTCTGAGCGGCTGCCGGCTGATTGGTCGGTTGGATTCAATCTGCCTCATAAATCCACATTTAGAAATTTGGAGAAACTTTATTGATCTGCAGCTCATTGACAAAACATTGCATGATTGACAGATTACTGCAGTGTGTGTGTGTGTGTGTGTGTGTGTGCTTTGATCCACATTAAATGTTCTGTATATTTGAGAGTTTCTGTCCAGTTTTCAGTGTATTTTATAGTTATCTTCTAAAATGAGTCTGTGAGTCTGGTGGAGAGTGATAGTGATATTGAACAAACAACAACTACTGTTAGTGGAACAAACAACAACTGCTGTTAGTGGAACAAACAACTACTACTGTTAGTGGAACAAACAACAACTGCTGTTAGTGGAACAAACAACAACTACTGTTAGTGGAACAAACAACAACTGCTGTTAGTGGAACAAACAACAACTGCTGTTAGTGGAACAAATGACTACTGTTAGTGGAACAAACAACAACTGCTGTTAGTGGAACAAACAACGACTACTGTTAGTGGAACAAACAACAACTGCTGTTAGTGGAACAAACAACAACTGCTGTTAGTGGAACAAACGACTACTGTTAGTGGAACAAACAACAACTGCTGTTAGTGGAACAAACAACGACTACTGTTAGTGGAACAAACAACAACTGCTGTTAGTGGAACAAACAACGACTGCTGTTAGTGGAACAAACAACGACTACTGTTAGTGGAACAAACAACAGCTACTGTTAGTGGAACAAACAACAACTACTGTTAGTGGAACAAACAACAACTGCTGTTAGTGGAACAAACGACTACTGTTAGTGGAACAAACAACAACTACTGTGAGTGGAACAAACAACAACTACTGTTAGTGGAACAAACAACAACTACTGTCAGTGGAACAAACAACTACTACTGTTAGTGGAACAAACAACGACTACTGTTAGTGGAAAAACAACAACTGCTGTTAGTGGAACAAACGACTACTGTTAGTGGAACAAACAACAACTGCTGTTAGTGGAACAAACGACTACTGTTAGTGGAACAAACAACAACTGCTGTTAGTGGAACAAACAACGACTACTGTTAGTGGAACAAACAACTACTACTGTTAGTGGAACAAACAACGACTACTGTTAGTGGAACAAACAACGACTACTGTTAGTGGAACAAACAACGACTACTGTTAGTGGAACAAACAACAACTACTGTTAGTGGAACAAACAACTACTACTGTTAGTGGAACAAACAACGACTACTGTTAGTGGAACAAACAACGACTACTGTTAGTGGAACAAACAACAACTGCTGTTAGTGGAACAAACAACGACTGCTGTTAGTGGAACAAACAACGACTACTGTTAGTGGAACAAACAACAGCTACTGTTAGTGGAACAAACAACAACTACTGTTAGTGGAACAAACAACGACTACTGTTAGTGGAACAAACAACGACTACTGTTAGTGGAACAAACAACGACTACTGTTAGTGGAACAAACAACAACAACTACTGTTAGTGGAACAAACAACAACTGCTGTTAGTGGAACAAACAACAACTACTGTTAGTGGAACAAACAACGACTACTGTTAGTGGAACAAACAACGACTACTGTTAGTGGAACAAACAACGACTACTGTTAGTGGAACAAACAACAACAACTACTGTTAGTGGAACAAACAACAACTGCTGTTAGTGGAACAAACAACAACTGCTGTTAGTGGAACAAACAACAACTACTGTTAGTGGAACAAACAACAACTGCTGTTAGTGGAACAAACAACAACTACTGTTAGTTACTACTGTTAAAGTAGAACGGGAGTCAGAGCCTTCAGTTACCAAGCTCCTCTCCTGTGGAACCAGCTTCCAGTTGTGGT